CTTCAAAAGCCACCCCTCCCCCAAATACACACACACCTGTTGATCATTTACACACACTGGAAGCCTACCAGGAATGATGACCAGAGAACCATGAATGACAGTGCTTGTGACCTCTGGGAGCTTTCAAGTAGGAGGGGATTCTTCAGAGGATTTCTTTTACATACTACGCACACGGTGTGCCATGCTCTCCCAGTGCATGGAGACTCTGCAATGAGCTGCTTCCTCCCAAGAGTGAGATGCACGTGAACACATGAAAATGCCTTCTACACATTTTGTTAGTTGATAGTTGATATCAAAGCTTTGTCGGACATGAACATTTTCTCACTGCGCCAACAACCAGCCCCATAGAATTGATGTATCAGGTTGATTAGCTTCACTTCTCCTGGAGTAGTGTCTTCGAAGAGAAATACAATAGTGGCAAATTTAACAGTGGGGATGAGGAGCACCTCCCGGGACTCTGCCCCTCTGAAGTGGTGCAACAGGGTCATGCGCAATCTGGTTACAAGAAGACTCTACTGAAGTTTTCAGGGTACACGTGAAGATGCAAACAAGGAATTCGGGAGTTAGAGAACTGAACACCCTTGCCTAAGTGGATCCATATTATGATTACATACATTAAGGGCTTGTTGGGCAAAAGTCCCCAATTAGTTTGTCACCAACAGTATTTCATAGAAAACACACTTACTGAAACCATTCATCAAAGAGCACTGCCACTACGGCGCAGCTATAGTAATCAAGACAGCGTGGCTACAGACAGACGTGTAGATCAATGGCACAGAATTCAAAGCCCAGAAATAAGCTCTGACATACACAATCGATTTTCAGGAGGTCAAGACAGTCCCACAGGAGAAAGCACAGGCGTTACAATAAAAGGTGCTGGGGCCTGGACAGCCACACGCAAAACCATGAAGTTGGACTCCTACCTCACACTACATACAAATATTAACTCAAAATGGATCAAAGTCTTGTCTTAAACATAAGAGGGAAAACTATAAGACTCTTAGAGGAAACATAGATGCAAATCCTTGACCTTGAACAAGGGCAACACCTTCTTAGATATGTCACCAAAAGCAACAGAAGAAAAAAGTTAATTGGGCTTCCTCAAAATTAAAAATTTTGTGTTTCAGGGGCTCCTGGACAGCTCAGTCGGTTAAGCGGCCAACTTCAGCTCAGGTCTCGATCTTGCGGTTTGTGAGTTCGAGCCCCGCGTCAGGCTCTGTGCTGACAGCTTGGAGCCTGGAGACTGCTTCCTATTCTGTGTCTCCCTCTCTCTGCCCCTCCCCTCCTTGCTCTCTTGCTCTCTCAAAAATAAACATTAGATCTTCCCGTGTGAATTTTGGTAGTGAGTGTGTGTTTAGGAATTTGTCCATTTCTTCTAAGTTGTCCAATTTGTTGGCATATAATTTTTCATAGTATTCCCTGATAATTGCTTGTATTTCTGAGGGGTTGGTTGTAATAAGTCCATTTTCATTCATAATTTTGTCTATTTGGGTGCTCTCTCTTTTCTTTTTGATAAGTCTGGCTAGAGGTTTGTCAATTTTGTTTACTTTTTCAAAAAACCAACTCTTGGTTTCATTGATCTCTTCGATTGTTTCTTTGGTCTCTATGTTGTTTATTTCTGCTCTAATTTTTACTATTTCTCTTCTTCTACTGGGTTTAGGGCGTTCTTGTTGCTCTGCCTCTAGTTCCTTTAGGTGAGCTGTTAGATTTTGGACTTGCGCTTTTTCTAATCTCTTGAAATAGGCCTGGAGAGCAATGTACTTTCCTCTTAGGACTGCCTTGGCCGCATCCCATAGATTTTGAATTGTTGTGTTTTCATTTGTTTCCATATATTTTTTAATTTCATCTCTAATTGCCTGATTGGCCCATTCATTCTTTAGAAGGGTGTTCTTTAACCTCCATGTTTTTGGAGGTTTTCCAGACTTCTTCCTGTAATTGATTTCAAGTTTCAAAGCATTGTGATCTGACAGTGTGCATGGTATGATCTCAATTCTTTTATATTTATTGAGGGCTGCTTTATGTCCCAGTATGTGATCTATCTTGGAGAATGTGCCATGCGCACTTGAGAAGAAAGTAAATTCCCTGGCCTCAGGATGTAAAGTTCTAAATATATCCGTCAGGTCCATCTGGTCCAATGTGTCTTTCAAGTCCATTATTTCTTTAGTGATTTTCTGTCTGGTTGACCTATCCATTGCTGTAAGTGGAGTATTAAAGTCCCCTGCTATTAGTACATTCTTATCTATAAGCTTGTTTCTGTTTGTGATTGTTTTAGATATTTAGGTGCTCCCATATTCGGTGCGTAGACATTTATGATTGTTAGTTCTTCCTGATGGATGGACCCTGTAATTATTATGTAGTGCCCTTCTTAATCTCTTGTGATTGTCTTTAATTTAAAGTCCAGTTTGTCTGATATAAGGATCGCTACTCCGGCTTTCTTTTGATTTCCTGTAGCATGATATATATTTCTCCATCCCTACTTTTAATCTGAAGGTATCTTCCCGCCTAAAATGAGTTTCTTATAGACAGCATATAGATGGATTTTGTTTTTTAATCCATTCTGCTACCCTATGTCTTTTGATTGGAGCATTCAACCCATTTACATTCAGTGTTATTATTGAAATATGTGGGTTTAGAGTCTTTGTATCTTTTGTAGGGTTCATGTTTGTGGTGGTGTCTCTGACCTCCACCGCAGCAACTTCTTACTTGACACATCCCCAAAAGCAAGGGAATCAAGAGCAAAAATAAATGATTGGGACCTCATCAAGATTAAAAGCTTCTGCACAGCCAAGGAAACAACCCAGAAAATTAATAGGCAACCAACGGAATGGGAAAAGATAGTTGCAAATGACATATCAGATAAAGGGTTAATATCCGGAATCTATAAGGAGCTCACCAAACTACATGCCCGAAAAACAAACAACCCAGTGAAGAAATGGGCAGAAGACATGAACAGACACTTCTCCAAAGAGGACATCCAGATGGCCAACAGACACACGAAACGATACTCAGCATCCCTCCTCATCAGGGAAATACAAATCAAAACCACACTGAGATACCACCTCACGCCAGTCAGAGTGGCTAAAATGAGCAAATCCGAGAACTCTAGATGCTGGCAAGGATGTGGAGAAACGGGCACCCTCCTGCACTGTTGGTGGGAATGTAAACTGGTACAGCCCCTCTGGAAAACAGTGTGGAGGTTCCTCAGGAAACTAACAGTAGAACTCCCCTATGACCCAGCAATAGCACTGCTAGGAATTTACCCAAGGGATACAGAAATGCTGAGGCATAGGAGCACATGTACCCCAATGTTCATAGCAGCACTCTCCACAATAGCTAAAACATGGAAAGAGCCTAAGTGTCCATCAACAGATGAATGGATCAAGAAGATGTGGTTTATCTATACCATGGAATACTACATGGCAATGAGAAACAATGAAATCTGGCCATGTGTAGCAACATGGATGGACCTTGAGGGTGTTATGCTGAGAGAAATAAGTCAGGCAGAGAAGGACAAATATCATATGTTTGCACACATAGGAGGATTAGGAGGAACTTGAAGGAGGAACAAGGGGGAGAAGAAGGGCGGAAATGGTGGGGGAAAGGGAGAGAGGCAAACCATGAGAGACTCTTGAATGCTGACAAAAACTGAGGACTGATGGATGTGGGGGGGAGGGGGGATGGGCATGGAGGAGGACACTTGTGGGGATGAGCACTGAGTGTTATGTGGAAACTAATTTGACAATAAACTATTTGTAAAAAAAATAAAAAAAATAAATCTGCTTCTGTTCAAAAAAAAAAAAACATTAGAAAAAAAATGTTTAATTTTTTGTTGCAAAGGACACCATGAAGCAAAAATACAATCCACAGGATTGGAAAAGACATTTGTAAACCATGGATCTGATAAGGGATTTGTATTCAGTACTGATAACTGTCACAATTCAGTAACAAAGATACACCACCCAACTTAAAAATGGCAAAGGATCTAAATGAACATTTCTCCAAAGAAGATAGATGACTGGCCAATAAGCACATAAAAAGAGGCTTTAAAAAAAAAACAAACCACCACTAGCCTTCGGGGAAATGCAAATGAAAACCACATTGAGAGACCAGCTCGCACTCAGTAGGATAACTGTAATCAAAGGCAGATAATAAGCATTAATATGGATGTGGAGAAATTGGAACTCTCTCTCATACACTGTAAAATGGTGCTACCACTTTGGAAAATCGTTTGTCAGTTCTTCAAGTGGTTAAACACAGTTACCCTATGACCCAGCAATTCGACTCGTAGGTGTACATTCAAAAAGAAATGAATGCCCACACAAAGCCTTGTACCCAAATGTTCAATCAACAGCGTAACTCATAATAGCCCCAAAGTGGAAACAACCCAAATACCCATCAACTGATGAATGGATACCTAAAGTGTGGTACATCCGTACAATGGAATGTTACTCGGCAATAAGGAGGAATGAAGTACTGATACAGGCTACGTGAATGAGCCTTGAAAACGTTAGTCTAAGTGAAAGACAGTCTCAGAAGACCACAAATTATAGGATTCCATGTACATAAATGACCAGAATAGGCAAATCTAGAGACAGAAAGTAGTTGCCCAAGTGTTGGAAAGATGGGGAGAAAGGGAGGTGTGAGGAGGAAATGAAGAATGTGTGCTTATGCGTTCTTCCTGGGGTGAAATGATTTAATAACTGTGGTGATGATTAACACCGTTATATTGTACACTTTAAACAGATGACCTATGTGTATACAAATTGTATCTCAACAAAGTGGCTGTTTATGGAAAAAAAAGAAAAAGTTAGGCCAGAACCAACAGCTCCTGGATAAATGCTGATATTGGTACGTGTGTTTAAAGAGGGGACATTAACATTCCAAGCCCTTAAACAGCATGCTAACAATACGGAAATGCTTATCACACAAGTATGTATTAATTTCTCGTCAGGTCCTATTTTAAGCCATCATTTTTAGAGCAATCAATACAAATCAAGGAATTTCTCAAACAGTCCATCTTTTATTCAAACAGAATCACATTTAACAATCAGGGTCATATGGCTTAAAAACATCTGACGTGGGTTTTGGACAAAGACCAATGAGATGGATAGTTTGTTGTCAGCAGCCTTTAAAATAATACTCTTGACGCAGCACCAGATAGAAAGGGGCACGAGCTATCTGCTTTCATTGATTTTTTAGCATATGCTAGATGTTATTAAATAGTATAGGTTATAAATAGCTGGTGGGTAGAGAGCAGCCCCACGCCCCGCCCCTGTCGCCATATTTAAAGTTCTTGTGTTTACAGCATACAAGGGAGCCAGGCTCTGGTCTCATCCCAGTGTGTTCACCTATGAACCCCCTACCCTCCCTGTCTGTCTCTTCCTGCAAAGAGAAGCCCCACCTCTAAGAGAATCATCTTTTTCCCATGACTGCGCGTCAAGACTACTATCCCTTCAGAAGGTTATCCAATACGTAGGGACTTGAGTCACAGAATCCTTTAAGCTTCTCCTTAAAGGAAGAAAAGAAAAGCATTCTCATGGGTGCCATTTGTCTAAGACAACCCTCCTGCACCCCTTCTTCCCTGCCCCGTCAACATACTCACCTTATATGAACAGAGGTGAGGGAGAGGAGTGAGGGTGGGGGTCTTGCGCTGCACTGCGCCCGAGACTTGAGCCCCCCCTCCCACATCCACCCCGAACTTACCTTCCTGGGCTTGCGTCTGCCACTCCACCACCCACCTTACCCTCTCGGTGCGATGGTCTATGGACCACACTCCAAAGTCAGCTCCTGTCGTGTCGCTGCTCACGTCATTCTCCATTCTTGGACGCACCGCCTTCCCTTGCACTGCCATTGAGTCTTTTACTTGTCATCTCTACCTGTTACCCGCAGAAAAGCTAGACCCCCCCATGTCACCTCTCCTAATGCTCCCCTACCTTCAGGAAGTAACGCAAACTCCGCGGCCCCACACAGCCACTGGGGCGGCCCACCATCGTGGCGCTGGGCACTAATGCAAAGGACGCAGGGCTGACCTAACTTTGGGTTCCCTTGTGGTGTTTAAAAGATTTGTCTGTGTACGGCCCGAAAGGTGTTCGAAGGTCACAGTCATCATTTATTAAAAATATTCATCCGCTTCTAAATTAAAGAAACCATATGAATCCACACAGTCAGTAGGGCATCTTTCCCAGTGTCCCCAGGATCTCGTCTCTTTCTGCTGCCGTGGGCATAGATGGCTGTACTCCATTCTGTCTTCTCTGGACCATGACAGAATTCTGCATGTAGGTATTAAAAAAAAAAAAAAGAAAAAAGAAGAAGAAATCAAAATCAGACACATACTAAATGCTAATCATTTGCCAGTAACTGGCTATTACATCCTCATAAAGGACATTCTAAAAACCAAGAGTAAAGAAAAACCAAAAACTAATTCTCGTGCTTCAGACAGTATTTTCAAGCTATTCACAATTAAATAGAAGTGATTATTCTCATAGGAATCTGTTGACAGTAACTGGGGTGAGAATATGCTGTTTAAGTACAAGAGCACAGAAACTGAGTCCATCACGAGGACCTACTAAGGGACTGCTAAATGAAACCAATAGTTAATTTAAAAGAGGGAAAGGAAGTAGCTGGGTCTAGTGCTCAGAGAAACAGAAATCATATACCGATGTCTCAAGAAAAACAGGAGCATTTTAACTACCAGTGTGTGTGTGTGGCGGGGGGGGGGGGGGGGGGGGGGGGGNGCTCAGAGAAACAGAAATCATATACCGATGTCTCAAGAAAAACAGGAGCATTTTAACTACCAGTGTGTGTGTGTGGCGGGGGGGGGGGGGGGGACGGGGAAGGAAAAGGCAGAGACGGAAGCCTAAAGTGTGTTATGATAGAAACAAGTTAATCCATTCTGCTCCTCTCCGGGAAAACTAAAATTATAACAAGCTTACTGTTTTAGGGCTGCGGATCTTATACGCATAGGAAGACCCACCTATGTCAGAACTGCATTCTTACAGCCTGGATGGAGCAGTGAGACCAGGCAGCCAGGAAGAGCTCTCAAGGATCCTTTAGGGGGCACAGAGCATAAAGTCAACCTTAAGTTTCCCCAGGCGTCACTAAGAAAGGACTGTGGGTACTGACTAAGGTTGGGCTTCAATTTCAAGCCTACGAGGGGACAAGTTTTAACACCAAGCTGACCAGGCACGGCTTACCCAGAATTTCCGGCAGTTTTTGTACTTCAGGAAGTGAGTGGAACACTTTTCCCTGTCATAGTTATTTTCATCCATACATCTGGTAGAAGCATCTGATTCCTTAAATATGTAAGACAGGCATCATTTAGGGGGTGGGTTGGGATCTAAACAAACAAAAACATCCCAAACTTCTGAAGCTGCTTTCCCCCCAAAGCAGGGAAGATGAACTCCTCCCTTTCTGTCGTTTTAGTGAACGTGTAACGAACAAGGGAATGATCTTTCCGATTGTCCCAGTGCTTGTTCTGTTCAGAGCAGACATCTTCCTTTTCATAGTCTGGGTCACTTTTCTGAATATCTGATCACCGGAACTTGAGCTGGAGCACTGCCTGACGTCATTTATCCCAGTAGGCGTTTAACCATGAAGCCAAGGCAAGGCACAATGTGCTCGAAATCACTACTGCGCAGCGAGGGTCAGAACCCCGTCTCCCGCCTTCGAGTGCAACAGCTGTCCTGTCTTCCAAGTTCTCACTTTGACTTGACTGTCTGATGTGAAGCTGGTTTTGAGATCCCAGGAAGTCGCTAATGACTGGTCTACATCAAGGCAACTTAAATTATCGCCACTCATCTCGATGTGTTTTTGGCTATCGTTCACTCCATTACGCAAGCACATATACTATTATGTACGCGGTTTTAATAGATATCATTACTATCACTTCAAAACCCTAAGTGAGCAACACAGGGCTGTGAGTTCAAAGGAGGCTGGCAGCCCATTTGGGAATTAAAATTAAGCTGTCTGAACTGGAAGTAGACTGGATAACAAACTTCAAAGTGAAAAGTAGGAGTCTGAGGGGTCATCTAAAGGAAAGCGTTAATGAAAGGGGTAGGTAATTTGCTTCACAGATCTAAGAAACAGTCTATCTAAACAGACTTTATAAAGCTGTTGAAAACAGATCTGATCCACGAAACAAAGCTACGTTTCTAGGCCAAATATTTAACGAATGTGTAGATTTGAAAAATGCACGTAGGATCAGGGAATCGCACCAGCCCAATGAGTGCATTACCCCAGAGCGACAAAGCCACAAATCAGTGTTGCTGGTCACACCACACAAATACCAATGAAACCTTATTATTACAACAGAACGGTTCGTCTCTGTGATACCTCTGTGGAAATCTTTAGGCTTTGAACGGGCAGATTCTATTAGAGCCCCTGATTCTCAGCCAGGCTCTCTCCAGGACATGATGAAATTATTGCTGTGAAAACATAAATTTCAGTAGCAGTTGAAGAGCGCAGTTTGCAACTTTCCATTTTTGGCCTGAAGGTTTTCCTTGGTGTTATGTCTGCCTATCTGGAGTTTCCGTGACGGCTGAGTGTGTGCACCTTAGACAAACCACGGTAACTCAGAAGATGTGAATCTTTGTTAGCTAAATTGCGAACACCTAGTAACGTTCTAGTGAAATAAGGATACGCTAGCCAGGAATCGTTTTTGTATTGAAATAACTTTATTCAGGAGCTGCAGAAAACAGACACCCGCAGCAGCAGAACAAGCCCGATCTTCCACCTTAAAACTCATGAAAATTAAAAGCAAACCACCTTACCGACAAGCAAGGGTTTATGTCAGGGTCTCGCAGCCTCCGCGTCACCATGGGCATCCTGACAGGTTCCTTCCTGCAGGCAGACGGTGGAGAAGAGAGTTACATGGCAAACGAGAGAAGATGAATCAGTACATCTCATTAGACCCCCGAGTACTTGAAAAATTAATTCTGGCCTAAGATTCTCGAGGAAGGAGCTCCATATGGCCTCTGTGTTCTGAGAATAAACATTTGTTTTTCCTTTGCATTGCCATGGTGCATCAACCGTTTTTAAAGTCATCCACTGAAATGTGGTCATAAGGCCCAAAGGGACAGGTCAGCTATAATTCAGCCTTAGTTCCTCTTTATTTCTAAAGGTTAAGCTATTAAATGTCCTAACAAAACCTGAGAATACAGCATGTGTGCTAACGAATACTTCCTTACAGTCCACTGGATCAGCATATAAGATGAGCGTGGAGTCTTTAGCACAACCCAACATTAGCAGAAACATTTGTTAACTAAACTTATGGCACGGACTCTGGCACCAGCAGCAGCTTGACCAACAGACCCAAAGAACAAAGACATTTCGAAAAGTTTAGAAAGAAAAACTAAAGCTTTACTTCCAGGAACATCTTCTATTTAACTGATAACTTCCCTGGGCTTAAAGGAAGTCCCAGAACGCTACCGTGGTTCATTAATCTTCCAACTCAAGCCTTACGCGTACAGCTCTGCAGAAGTCTTTATCGATTAAAGATGATCACGGTTCCCTAAGAGCCAACTGAGGATTCTGTCAAGTCACAGAGCTCTTCTACAATAGGTATGCCTACTATATTCCAGGACAATTGCTCTCTCATGGAGTCTGACTGAAATTGGCATGCCTATCATCTTCAAGGACATGTCACAGAAAGGAACTAAAAGAGAACATGTTAAAAAAAAACAGTCAACAAACTGTTAATTATTTCAAAGTGGGATTTTTTTTGTTTTCATAGATCAATATTCTCGTGATGAGCACTCCCCCCAAACATTTTTAAATGCTCTGCACTAGGTTTAAGAAGCTGAGTTAACCTGCTCTTGAATCCTGTTCTAGCTTAATCATCTTCTATCTGAAGATTTAAGAAGAAACAAGCAGTAATGCAATTGGACAAAGAAAACACCGCCCAGCAAAGGACCACATCAGTCAGTATGACCAGACAAAGGTCAGAGATTTTGTATGAAAGGGTTTCTACTGGCCTTGCTCTAGACAACACCATGAAACAATATAGGTCACGTTAAAAGAAATAAAGGACATTCAGGAAAATCAATCAAATCCCGTAAGTTCCTAAGAAATGGAGGTATTTGCAATCAAGAGTACATATATAATCTAAACTAAGTAGAGTTTAGAGACCAGGATGTCCAGGCTAAAGGAGATTAATCTTTATAAAGAAGGATGGAAAAGAGTTTAGTTATTCCAGGATCCTTTAACTTTTAGGAATCCTCTAAGTAATTATTTCATTTTCTGATTGTCATTGATCAATACATGAATACACTTACGGGCGCCTGGGTGGCTCAGTCGGTTAAGCATCTGATTCTTGATTTCGGCTCCGGTCTTGATCTCACAGGTTCGTGAGACTGAGCCCCGCATTGGCCTCCATGATGATGGTGCAAAGCCTGCTTGGGATGTTCTCTCACCCTCTCTCTCTGCCCCTCCCCTGCTCACATAAGCTCTCTCTCTCAAAACAAACTTTAAAACAATGCATGAATATACCTTAGCTTAACAAACATCTAGGTAAAAAGGAAATTCAAGATGCTGTTCAACGGCCTGACTTCTTACGAAGAGATAATGGTGCCAAGTAAACTCACATCCTTCTGTTTTACATCCATCCTATGACGTGAGAACACAGAACTCTGCTTAGTTGTTCATATTCCTTATATACCATCTCAAGAATAATCAGACTTGGACAAAATTCAGACGGCATGCCTTACATGAAACTGCACTTTCGCTGCATTTGACAATCATCAGCAATCAAGAATTCTTTAATGAAAGTAACACCTGGGTAACATCACATATACCCGAATCAGGTTTTGCAGCACGAATTTATTCACATCTCATTTCCTTTCTCTTCCGGATTCTAAATACAAGTCAAAGTAAGTTTGGATTTCTAAGTGTCACTTTCTTTGCATGAATCCTCAAGTATCACTGGAAACGAAGAGGAAATGTCAACTGACAGAGAGGAAAAGGGCTAAAGGGAAGATGGAGCGTTCCGCTAGAGAGGGCTTATCTGCTTACTTTCTGAAGGCACGAAGCAAGAATCACAAAGCTCTACTTGCAAAGGACAGCCAGAAAGAAAACCAAAGATGTGAGGGAGGGGCCCCAAAAGCACAGCACGTTTGAGGACGAGCTCTAAAGACTGGTCCAAAGGGCAAACCGTGCAAAAATCTACGTCTTGATTTCCCATCCAGTTCACACCCCCGCTCTCCACCTGGCTCTGAAAGGGAAAGGAAAGGGAACGACACGGAGCACGTCCATGCCCACGTGCTGGCCAGAGCCAAGGCCAGGTCTGCGGGTCTGAGAGATACCACGCAGATGCAAGCAGCAGGAAGCTGAAACACGCTGTGCCAGAGCCCAGAGCCTGAACCCACTGCTGGGTGCAGAAGGGCAGGGTCAGGAAGTCAGCATGGCCCGGCGGGGCGGGCGAACGGAGACGCTGGAGGCGAGTCCGCGGCCTCCCGCCGTCGCGATGCTGCCTGCCGAACGGTGGGCCACGGGCACAGGTGAACACACCTTGCTTCCACCTTCGGTGGAGCCGAGTGCGGCGGGGGCGCCGGAAAGGCAGGAAAGTGGCGGTGGGGGTGGGCAACTACGCCCCAAAGGCCGGGAAACGGAGTGCAGCAAGAGCTGGGGGTGCCCAGGCGGGCCGAGGGGCACCTTGCTCGTCCCCGGCCCGAATAAGCCGGCAACGTGGGGAGGAAGCGGGGCAGGAAGGGGCCCGCGCCGCGGCCGGGCCTGGCGGTAGCGGCGTCACACCGCAGGAGTGGACTCGGGCCCCGCGGCGGCCCCGGCGCACCCGTGTCTTCTCGCCCCGCCGCGGCCGCCGCCGCCGCGGAGGGAGGGGCGGGGGACCACTCACCTCCGGCCGCCGCTTCGCCAGCGCCCAGGCCGTCTCCAGCTCCAAACACGTCAATGGCTCACGCAGCAGGACCTTAAGTAGCGCGCACCCCAACGTGCTGCCCCCGCTCCCCGGCGGCCGCCGGCCCAATCGACGCGCGCCGCCGCCAGACTGACAGCCCAGCCGGGCCTCGCCGGGCGGGGGCGGGCGGGCCTCGCCCCGCCCCCGGCCGGCGGGAGGCGGGCCCGGGCGGGCGGAGGGGGCGGGGCGGAGCTCGCGGCACCGCCCCCTTCCCCCGCCCCGCCGCGCCCCCCGGGCCGAGGCCCGCGTCTTAACACTTCGGCTTGACGGGCGGCCCCGCTGCCCAATCGGCGGGCCGGCCCCCGGCGGCGGCGGCGCCCAGTGGCCGGTCCCGGGGCGGAGCGCGCGCGGGGGCGGGGGCGCGGGGGGGCGGGCCCGGCGGCGGGCGGGGGCCGGGGGCGGGCCGGCGCGAGGCGGGGGCGGGGGCCGAGCGAGCCGGGGGAGGCGGCGGTGGGCGCGACGTCGGCGGCGGCGGCGGCGGCGGCGGCAGCGGCAGCTGCAAGTTGGGCTGCAGGGGCAGCGCATACACTACAATGGCTGCTGGAAAGAGGCGTAAGGAAACAATTTCCAGGCCCGCCGCGTCCAGCCCGAAATATGAGAAAAAAATTATTAGAAATTCCGCGGGCGGTGTAAAGGCGGCGGACGGGCCGGAGGGAGGATGTTAAAGCCCCGCGGTGAGTTCTCCCGGGGTCCGGGGCGGCGGAGAGGCGTTTAGCGGGAGAAAGATCAGGGTTATTTAAATTATGGGACTAGCCGAGGGGGCAGAGGAGCAGCGGCGGCGGCAGGAGGAGGAAAAGTTTGTGCTACTCCCAGCCCCTGCTCGGGACCCCGGCGAGAAAAATAATAATAAAAAATAAAATAAAATAATTGAGCGGGGGTGTGAGGACTCCCGAAGTCGCTCCTGACAGGGCAGGGGGCGATGCGGCTGGAGCCCCAAAGGTGAGGTCGGTGGGAAAAAAAAAAAACCCTTTATTCAGGGTCTGGAAAGTTTGAAAAGTTTTCCTCCTCCTCCTCCTCCTCCTCCTCTCTGGTGCTGTGAATATTGTGACAGCGGCAGCGGCAGCAGCGAGAGCGGAAGACATTAGAGACCCGAAAAATAAGGGAAAAATTAATATAAATTCGGTTTTGAGAGTAAACTCTCCGCATTTTCCACCAAAACATCCCGGGGGAAGGTCGCTTCCCAAAGGGCCTGGCGGAAACCCGCGGTCGGCAATATTTGGGGGGCACTTTGGGTGACTTGGGGTAACTTTGCCCCTTTTTCAAACGAGGTTTTTCTTTTTTGGAGAAATGAATTTGTTTTTGCCCTTTCCTCAGGTGGGCGAGTCGGGGTCGGGGTGCGGGGTCTGCGGGGAGGTGTGAGCCCTGGATGTGTGGCTGCGAGGGGGGGGTAGGGGGAGGGGGTGCTAAATGAAAGCAGGAGATCTGCACAGAGCAGGGACAGCTTGTTGTCAGTATCATAAACAACCAAAATGGAGGGAGAACTCAGGCATATAACCAAATAAAAATTTTTTAAAAATCGCAAAAAAATCCCTAAAAATCCGGGATGCTCCCCCTTTTCTCGCTAAAGGTAAAAGTATGAACCGCCTTTCCCCTGAAGTCCATTTTGACTTTGCAGGGACCAAGGAGTTAATATTTATTTATTTTTTAAAACTTTCGAAGGGCAAAAGCCTTTTATAACTCAACCGACAATGAGAAAACGTGAAAATCCGATGCAAGAGAAGGAGGGGGAGGGAGGGGGGAGGTGGTAGTGCAGAAACTGCTAAACTTATTGCTAATGTGGACTGATCTGTGATAAGATAAACACTATATTTGCTATTTTATAACTCTCTTTTAATGATCTTTGCGGGGTGGGTTTTTTTTTTTTTTTTTTTTTGGTGGAAAAAAAAGTGATGCCATTTTCTTAATGGAGTTAATATGTGTGATTGGAAGAATAAACCTTTCCGGCTTTAGATTGCATTTTCGTCGCATTTATGTTTCAGGTTTTATTAGTGACTCCCTCCTTTCTTTAAACTGGGCTCTACAGAGGAGGGGTAGAGAGGTGATGTTGCACAGAGAGACTGGAGTGCAAGACTGGAGCACCTTTTGGGGAGGGGTGGGGAGTTGCTTGGATTCTCCCTTCCTGGCCCGTTTGCTTCACCTGTTCATCCCTAGCAAAGAGTATTAAGCTGAAGTTTTCTGGTTTTACGTACATAAAAGGATGGTGCCTCTTGCATCACATGGAAGTTAATGGGAAAGTGCTGCTGATGTTGGGTTCCACGTGGGATATGGGACAGAGGAGGGCATTTTAAAGGGACAGCTTCTCTTTTCTTAGGACTTTCATCACCTACACAGAATCCCTGCCTGAGGACCAAAGGCAGAGGTGCTGGGAGGGTGTGGCGATGGAAGAGGCTTCTCTTTCCATGACTCAAGGGCACCCACCTTTAGGAGGGATGGAGGGAAAGGAGGGATAAACAGGCTCCCCAGAAGATGGATATTGTGTAGATTAGTTTGTATCCAAGCTGTTCTTTTGTGTAACAAGCCTCCCAGGAACTTTTCATGTTACATTGCTTTGCTTTGGACGCGGATTTTGGAAGGATTTGTGGAAAAATGGAAATAGTTTAAGGTGTGTGGTGTAATGGTATAGCATTATTGAACAGTTATGAATTCTGTGCAGTAAGATCAAAGGGCTGTGTATGCCCATAATGTGATTTTACAGCCATTTTGTAAAAGCTGTAAAATACCTAATATTCAATTTGGCTTAAGGTACATTGAGGACTTCTGGTTGAAAACTGCAGACAGAGTGGTGGAGATTTTACACTGTAAGCAGTAGGCATTTCTTGAAGGCAAAAAAAAAAAGCACATGCACCAACCCCATGGAAAAGTTTACATATACCCATTTTTAAAGCTCATCCTATACATGGGCTGGAACTCTGCTACTTTGAAACTGAAAGGTTTTCAAAATCCCTAGACCATGTCAGTTTGCATCTTTTCAGTGAAACTTATTTGTGTTATTTAACAGGAGATGTTTACTGATCATAAACTACTCCCGACTCTCAACCGTCATTTTCGCAGTATTTTCAGAAATTAAAATGTGTCCATTGTTAGCTCTCCTCTATCTGAGATTAAGGTTCATCTCAAATAGAATTTACATGCGCTCCGTTTTCCACAGGCATATGGAGTTCTGAAATCAATGCCTGTGGCCCTTGGTTTTTATGAGTTATTGCAATGGATTAAAATTAGAGCTGGATTTTTAGACTTCTTATACAGAAGATTTTTTTTCTTTCCATCCTGTACAAACAGATTATTATTTTGAAGCCCATTGTATGTTAACATGTGTCCACAGCAGAACCCCTATCTGCACCTTTCTGTAAATACCTCCCTAACAGCATTGCATCGGTGCAGTGTTTGAGTACATCATCTGTGGTTTCTGATTTTGGAAGCAATTACAACTTTCTAAGAACTCATTAAAAATTATTCCCAAGAACCACTGGTAAATCAAAACTGATTGGAAAGTGATTAAGCTATCAATGGTAAAGCGTAACTTCCCCCAAGTAATCATAGAATATTTTTAGAACCTTTGAAATTTATCTTACATTTTCATTGTGCTTGCGCTGGAGACAGTTACCTAAAGCATCAGTAGTCAGAATTAGGCTATGTGTTTAAAATCAGTGAGACTTTTACATCTTGAATAGCTGCCACTCTGATAAACTGGGTACTAATATCAATAAAGTCAGGTTCTGTAAAAGCGAAGGAAAAATATTTCAGCCACTTATATCAGACTATTGGGGTTATTCAGTTTGTGTGGACACTTCAAGTTATGATTAGTTCATTGTCAACCTAAATAAAAGTGCTGGTATTGTGATTTTATTTTCCTTTCCCACAAAGGGTGGTATAAAACTTCCTTCGTGTTTGGGTTTTACACAATTGGCTACTGATCTGCTTTAGAAAATACACTGAGAGTGTACAAAGTGTGAAATCTGTAATTCCTGAGAGAGTGTTATTTAGGTAGGGCATAGCATAATATCTAATTGGAATTGGTTGTATTGAGCTTTTTAAATGTCTTAGATACACTACCTCTGGAACATAACTTTTTCTGAAGCTACCACCAAATTATACAAATTTACAGAAATAATCTAAGGATGTTGTATACTCAAACTCTTTATTTCAGTTAGAATTAGAGAAATCTCCTAGTCTGAGATTCTTATTTGACATTTACATGCCTAATTCTGCTCTTTGAGATTCTATAAGGAATTTAGCCGCTGTGGAAGATAATTTATAAATTTGGAATACTACTACTGGTGAAATTCTCTATCTGTATATTTATTATAACCAAAATATTTTAATAAACAGATGTCTAACAGCTAAATAAGTTAGTGAATTTGCTTTTATCAATATAGTTTAAAAAGCTTTAAGGATACTCTGTGTTTTAATATCCTACAAAGGTGGGAATTTTTTCCTTCACTTTTAACACAATCCTACACATTTTGATTGGTATTCTGGAAATTTTCCCTTCTGAGGATTAAATTGTTGTTTGCTAAAGGAAATGTAATTCTCCTGTCTTTGACATCTGAAAGATATATCTATCGCTAGCTATCTTTTTAAGTTTTGTTTCAATAATCATTTGACTCTTGAGCTGTGTAATCAAAATATTGGTTCCTTCTAGGAATGTTTTAATATTCTTCATTTAGAATCCTGTTCAATGGAAAATTAAAATATATAAAAAATGACCTGTTTCACACACATTCACATACACACACACACACAAACACACAGACACACACAGCCAAGAAAAAAGTTTTACTGAATGAGTTTACTTACACTGCCTGGATTACTTTTTCCTTTTTATGTGTTTCCTATAAATATAAAAATTTTCCCTTTGTGTTGATAATATCTTAGATTCTTTAGTTATTTGAGTAAGGGAAGAGTTTCAGAAGAAGGAAAAAACAACTGAATGTGACCAACAAAATCCAAGATAGTGAATATGTTAAAGATAAAAAGGCTGTAAATTGTCCCTTGAGCCATGTTTTAAATGTTTCAAGAACCTGATAAACACCTTTTCTGGAACACCAAGTACTTGGAATAGGTATCAGCCACTGCAAAAAAACAAAAGTGGATCTATAATTTCTTTAATTTAAACAGGAATTAATGTAGGCAGCATATTTAACCAATTAGTAAGTGTTTAGGTAGTCTTGTAAAAGTATTTACAAATAAGTTAAGTGTGAGGGCAGGGTACATCAGATTGATAAACTGTCAAGTTACCTCTGATTTTAGAATTCATGTGTGGGAATTCTTTTCCATTTTACCATCACACCGCTTTGGAGGTAACTGATTTTTACTTTTTGCTTTTAATTTCAGTGCCCAATTTTTTTTGAAATGCCTGAACCTGACATCTCCTGTATTACTCCTTTTCCTTCCTAACGGGACAGCTTTTACATTTCATTCGCAAATTTAATTTTCAAGCTTAATTCGAGAAATTAAATGAAAATGTTTAGATCATAATATTTCATCAAAGTGTGGGTGTGTAGTTATTAGCATTTGATGTTATAAGAACCATAGTAAGTGCAAAAGCCTGCTAGAAGTTATGACACAGACAGAACTGGATTTTTACTTTTAAACCCCCTGGCCTGCTGTCTGGTGGTGTGCATTCTCCTCACTTGGGACACCTGTCCCTGCCTCCTCTTTCCGGAGTGGCATT